CTACCCTCACTTGATGCTTTCACACTAACTCCCCCACATCTTCTCACATTGTTTACTTCAAATTGTTGCTTCTGGTTTCTTGGATCTACTCAGATAGATCCAAATAAAGAATGTGATTGTCTTCAGAGTATGGCTATTCACAGGCAAGACAATGCATGCGTGGTTTCACTTCATCCTCAGTGGTAATGTTACCCCAAACCCTTTTATGTGACTAACTGGTTACCTCCTCAGCTGTGCTTGGAATTTACATGTGGAATTCTCAGTGCCAGCCTTTTGTGGATGACAAGAAAAATGCTAGTAGTTTCCACTTCTTCCTGACAGAATTCATTTTCATGGCCCAAGATATGCTTATTTTTTGATGCCTGGTTCTCAAATGCTCTATTACAATCAAAATTCCTACTTGTCTATCAAGATGTGATGAAAGCAATTGAAACCTGATGGCCATTAGTGTGCGTCTGTTGATTAGATGAGTCATGGGGTTAGAAGGCTTCATGGGATCCTTTAGAAGCTCTTCTTATCTACTTAAATAATTTATTGGAGTAGGACTCTTTGATAGAGTATCTGTCTGTATAAAGCCCAAGGGGACTCTTCAGTGGTGGTTTTTTTTTTTGTATCTAAAGCTCTGGGTGACACTCTTTGCTTTAGCCCTTTGGGGCTCATCCATGCCGTGAATGACATGCTTCAAGGGTATGGTTCCTTGGTAGGTCATGGTACTGCCCAGTAGTGTAGCTGCCTTTGAGTCATCTATGGTTCTGTGTGACTTCAGTAAGTTCATTGGTTCAAACAGTTGGGCAAGTGGAGTTATTCCTTCAGTCTATCAGTGTCCTCTCTATCTGTGGTGAAAAATACTTTCTTCTCCTCATTTTGGAAAAAAGTCATGTGACACAGGTGTCAAGCAGTGATTGACAGAATAAAAGATGAGTTAAAGGCATAGCCAGTCTCTCTTCCATGGTATGGAATGACATGTCTGTTTTATGTTAATAGTTGTGTGGTCTCTGTTATAGATTATAAGTTATGCAATTGACTTTGAGCTAATGTTTGAAGTTACCAGTAGGAAATAGACATGAGGAAGGACTCCTCCTTGTTTAAAGAAGAAAAATGATCTGACATTTAAAGTTAGGAACATGAGGTGAAATAGACAGAAGAGCCCCTCAGATGAGACAAATGCCTATGTGACAAGATTTACATGAAACCACAGTTCCTAGGTACACAGACAAAACTGATGCTGTACTTCTGAGCCTCTGGAAGACTTTGCAGCCAGAACAATGGTTAACTAGAGGCATGAATGAAAAGAAACTGATGCCCACTGCACCCCTGCTTTGGGGGAAGGTGCTCTAATGGGTTGTAACTTATTCTAGTTCCTTTCCTAACTGCATGATCAAGGTTGCATGCAGTTGAAGATAACACAGGGCAACCAGAGTAGATTCATGTATTCTTTGTTAATTTGAACATGTTTGACTTTGATAGTGGAGTTATATTAATCCAAAACAACCCAGAAAGCCCCAGGAACAATGGGTGCCAGTTGATGTGTAAGGGGAAAGGTTAATCCAGTCCTAGAGGTCAGTAGTTATCCCCTCTGAGAGTATACATTTCTCCCCTACAAGTAAACCTAAGGGGCCATGTATACTGATATTGCTGCAACACACTTTGCCTACAAGTGTCACGGAGTTTTTGGTCTAAGGGTGTAAATAAAGGCAGTTGTGGGTGTTTAAGTGAAATGGGAGCCTAGATGAGCCCAAGACTACTCAACAGCAAAGTGGGACTAGTGTGGTGTTCAGAAAGCACATAAATAATGTTATCAGAATTATTAAGATCACAGCCTGTGAACTAGCATGCCCAAGTGGGATTTGGACATCCATCCTCAAGTAGGCCAATCAAAGAGAAAACTTAATACTTAAAAGAAGATTAAGGAGATTTACTCATTATAGTCATTGGAAGAGAGACAAAGTGACCCAGTGACTACATCTCCAAATCTGTCTTCACAATCCTAAAATGAGGCTAAGGTTTTAATAGAAAGCAAGTCAGTGTAACTAATCAGTTGGGTCTAGGTGTGTGTGTCTTAATTAGTATTTTTATTGCTGAGATGTTCAATTATGTCCAAAAAGCAAGTTGGGTATAAAGGGTCTATTTGGCTTATACCTCCATATTGCTGTTCATCACTGAAGAAAGTAAAGACAGGAACTCACACAGGGCAGGAACCTAGAGGCAGAAGCTGATGCAGAGGCCATGAAGTGGTGCTGCTTACTGGCTAGCTTCCTGTAGCTTGCTCAGTCTGCTTTCCTACAGAACCCAGAACTAATCTTATGGAGGCATTTTCTTAATTGAGGTTCCCTCCTATCAGATGGTTGTAGCATGTGTCAAGTTGACATAAAACTGGCCAGCACAATATGGTTCCTCAATCCACCACTGCATCAGTTTCAATACCTCATTCAAAGTTTTCTGATAAATTACAAACCTGTCCAGAGAGACAAAGTCCTCCTTCAGTCAACCAAACAGTGTCCCACTATCAGGGTAATAGATCTGGAAACAGCAAATTATCTACCAAGTCAGTGTATTCCTAGATCACTGGAAAGATAGAATTTGTGGGCTCCTGATGGTGTAAAACTCAGCCCAGTATGACCATTTCTGACTATGGCACACTCAGGAGTTGAGGGTGAGATATGGGAGGGGCAGGAGACTTCTGGATGGAGCAACAATGCTTAGTGTTACAAGGAAGGCAGGTCAACCTTTCTAGTTTTCAGAGGCAGCAGGAAGGTCAGACAAGAGGAAAAACAGCAGATATGGATGGGCAGGCACAGGAGAAACATGACTGGGGAAAGGAGCAGTAACAAAGGTGATTGTTGGGACTTGGATAGAAAAGCCCACATCTGGACACTCAGCTACCCAGGACCCAGTCATGGACCATTCCCAAATTATTATGTTTGACATGTGCAGTAACTTATTATTATCACTATCATTTAAAAAATTTTAAATAGTATATTTTGAAAAAAGTTAAATACATAATAAATTTAGTTTTTTCAACACTGTTTGCTGTGCACTTACTCAATATGTAAGCCACAGCTTAGTAGTCCTGGAAATTTTGAGATAAATTTCAAGGTTTGAATCTTTCTTTCTCCAAAATTTATTTGCAATTTATGCAGACTAACATTTTTTATTTGAACATAGCTTCTTCTCTTATACAATCCATCCCAACCACAGCTTCTCCTCCCTCCACTTCTTCCAGCTAATCTGTAACCTCCCCTCTCCTACAAATCTACTCCTTCTGTTTCCTCTTCAGAAAAGGATAGGCTTCCAAGAGACAACAGCCAAACATGACCAAATAAGAATCAATAAGACAAGGCAAATGCCCTCATCTCAAGGCTGGACAAGGCAACTCCCATTGTTAGAAGTCTCACAGAAACACCAAGCTAACAGCTATAGCATATACTCAGAGGACCTGGTACAGACCCATGCACGATCCTGTATTTGTCATTTCAGTCTCTGTAAGTCCAGGTGAATCCTGCTTAGTTGATTCAATGGGCCATGTTCTCCAAGTGTCCTCTCATTCCTAGATTTTTCCTCTCCCTTTTCCATGGGTTTCCCTGATCTCTGAGGGGAGTGACCTAAGAGAGACCTCCATTTTAAACTCTCTCTCTACATGAAGACTGGCTGTGGGTCTCTGCATCTGCTCTCATCTGTTGTTGGATGAAGCCTCTCTGATGACAAGTGGACAAGGCACTGATTTATGAATATAGCATAATATCATTAGGAATCATTTTGTTATTGTTGTTTTGCTAGTCGTGTTTGGTTCTACCTTAAGTCTCTGTGCTTTCTGGTGTAGGACATAAGCTCCCTCTCAGGGTGTGGGCCTCAAGTTAAAGCAAACATTGGTTGATCACTACCACAAGTTCTGCACCACCATTGCCCCAGCACACCTTGCAGGCAGGACAGATTATAGGTTGAGGGTTTTGTGGCTGGGTTCACGGCTAGGTTTTTTTCCCCCATAGCCTGCACAGCACCTTTCTGCAACAAGGAGAAAAGAACTTAGTGGTAAAGGCTCCATGGAGACACCAGCTCAACTTATCTAAGTTCAGTGACATTTGTGGATGCCCTCAGCAATCAGAGCCCACTGTCAGTTTTCAGAAAACAATCCTCTGTCTTAGCCTCTTGGCCAACAACTCAACCAAATACAACCCACTTTCAACACTGGAAATCTTGCCTGGTTACAAAAGATGACCAGTTCAGATTCCATATCCTCCATTACTGAGAGTACTCACTAGGGTCACCCTCATAGATTCCATCAAGTTTCCACTGCACTAGGTTTCCACACTCACTCCCAATGCTTCTTATTTTCAGTTGTATCTCCATGTACTCTCTCCCTCCATACGTCCCCCCACCTGATCCCACAGCTCCTGTCTCCATTAGCTCCCAGCTCACCAGCAAAATTTATTCTATTTCCCCTTCCTATGGAGATCTATGTGTCTCCCCTAGAGCCCTCCTTTTTACCTAACATCTCTTGGTCTGTGTATTGTTAGCTTGCTTATCATTTGCTTAACAGCTAACATGCTTTTATAAGTAAATGAGTGTGTTTGCCTACATATGTACCGTATGCATGCCTAGACCCTGTGGAGGTCAGAAACTGGTATCAGATCCCCTAGAACCATAGTAACAAATCCTGTGAGCTGCCATGTGAGTAAACTTCCAAACTGTCTTGGTTTGCAAGATTGAACTGCTTGCCCTAAGAGACCTCCTGTACCAGTGGTCATGGTCTGAAAGAACCCCTCACTGTATTCCTGACGGGACCGTGGATCCTACCCTCACCCTGTGTATAGGGAGTAGTAGCCCAGGCTTCTACTATGTCCCCACTTTGCCAACAGGTAAGGAGAGATCTGGTTTCTGCCATGCCCCACTGCTAACACAGGACTGCAAAAAAAAAAAGGTGCTCAGTGAAGGATTTTGGGTATAAAACTCTAGTTATCTTTTTAAAAGTTTAATTAGTTAGCCAGAATGAGAGACTAAACTTTGTAAGACAATCAAAAATTAATTTTATTTTTGTTGTTCAATTTAATGCCAAGTTCTTTCCCAACTGCCCAGGAAATTCCAATTTCAATGTTACGGTTTCTTGTGAGTATTACAAATTAAGGCAGAAGTAATTCTCATTTGTTTTTAAAATAATAAAATTCTTGTAACCTGGATCAACAACAACACAGGCGTTACTAATGACATTTGTAAACTTAGAACTAATGAATTTGGTAGTAAGCATATTAACATTTTGGAATACCAAGAATCCTAAAGTTACCGAAACAGAATAGTAGGAGTAGAATGCTTCATACTCTCCTCCTACCAGCTTCAGAATGAGGGTACAGTATTTGGATTATAGACTCTGCCTGACCTAATGTTGGTTGGAAACTGCCAATGCACTAGAATGTGTGCTCATCAGGACAGTAGTATCATCTGCTGAACAATTCTGGCCTAGGCCCTGTCTAGCTCATCTCTCAAAGCCGCTGCATATTTTTCAGGGTAGGATCTGGGATCACTTTTAGTAATGCTGGCAAAAAACTCCAAGACTTTCATCTTGGTGGTTTCAGCAAAGGCCCTTGGGCCCCACAAGAACTCATGGCTAGGAGGATCACTGTCTGGAACCTGCCTGTACACCAGGTACCCTTCCTGCACAAAATCCTCAGTGATTATCTTCCTGGGGTTTTCACATAGGAAAGGATCTCTCCAATCACAAAACCCTATATTATTCAGCATTCTCCAGATCATCTCCAAACTGACACAGTTTCCCTGCATGAAAATGATACCCAATATTACTATTAAGAGGTCTGTCTTGGGCTTACCCTGGGCATCACTCAGCATCCCATCATAGGTGATACCCAGGGCAGTAACAAGGGTATAGGATTGGACAAAGGGGTCCACTTCTATCATGTCAATACCAAAGACCAGCCTTAAGCACTCCGATGCCTCACTAAAGATCACAGGGTAGTACTCTTCATACTCTCTAACAATACTTTCCAGCATTTCTGACTTGGTAGTGAAATCCTTCATTTCATATTTGAAAAGCAGAAAGTGCACCAGGTCAAACACCTTTATATTTAGTGCCCTGTGCAACAATGACACAGTGTCTTCCAGCTCCTCTATTTGGTTGCAAGAAGCCTCATCAGATGGGTACTCGGGAATGGAGCCCATGATCATAGGGGGAGAGCAGGCTCTCTGAGGACTCTGGGGAGAACATGGTGTTCCACTATCATACACATTTTTTGAGGTGGTGGTGCTGGCTTCCTCCTTCTCTGCAACAGCCATGATGATCTGAGCATTGTTTACCTCCCCTTGGGCTCCAGGACTGGCTGGGAGGTTGCAGTGATGAATGTTATGGGAAACATCCATTGTGACTTTTTTGGTAACAGCAGGCAGGATAGTGTCCCAGTTACAACAATGAGGATTCACAGGCCTGATGGGTAAAGGGAGAGGGAAAGGATGAGGGTGAGTGGACCCTGCTGGTAGCCATTCTCTTTTGCAGCTCTCAAATAGTCATGTTGTCTGGTTTCTCTTCAGTGGTGCTCCAGGATCACAAGGACTCTTAGCAGTCCTAGAACCCCAAGAGGCTGAAAGAGAAAGAAAGAAAGCTATTTGGGGTGCAGCCTTGTCAGAGCATGAGCCCCCAGGGCTGCTATCAGATTATTTGGGGCCAGAAAATGTAGAATGTTCATATTCTGGGTAGTTGAAACCCTTAATATACTTGCAGGATATACTTCCCCACAAGTTCTGAGGCTGCATTAACCTTGTTCTTGTACAGGAACTGAAGACACTGTCTCAGACCAAGACTTTATCTCCTGCCACCTAGAACTACTCTAAGAGATGCTGACAACATTCTACAGCTTCAAAATGCTAGTTTGAAACTGAGTTCCCATTCTGAACAGGAAGAGTGAGATGGACTATGGGTAATAACCCTACTTAAGGTAAATGGTATTTTCCATGCTCACTCTGGGCCCTCAGCTTTCCCATGTCAAGGGCTGTACACCACCCTTCTACAGGTCTGCGGCAAACTCTTAGGTTCCCACTTCTCTGAAACAGAATAAAAGGGATTAAGAACCCTTTATATCTGGCTACAGCTGTTCAAGTTAAATTGAAAGACATGGCTCAATTCAATGTGGTCCATGTGTCCTGGGATGGGGAACCTGCCCAACACTCACCTTGATTAGGGACAAGGACAGAACTGCTTGCTTTGATGATCTGAGGCTACTTTTTTTTAAGTCAAGAGCTTATTCCTCCCATCCAAGTACTAACTAGGCCCGACCTTGCTTATCTTACGAGATCAGACGAGATCAGGCACGTTCAGGTTGGTATGGCCGTAGAGTAAGAGCCTATTTCTGTGAGACAGAGGGAAAGGATGTGAGATAAGGGAATTTATCCATAGTTCTTGCGTCTTCTAACAGCTGACAGGAGGGCAGAGGTAGGAGATGGGTCTTATGTGCCTGGGTGGCAGGACTTCTTCAGTCCTTACCTTGACTACTGACACTCCTGAGAGCTTCCCTTTGATGACCCCAGTCAAACTCCCTTTTACCAGGTCTTTCAGCTCCCTGAGACCAGTGACCTGCAAACAAGATAGGGTGGTCAGACTGATAGCCTGATCCAGGACTATGGAGGTCAGGTATGTGAAGAGTGTTTGTGGGGCCCATGTCTGTATTGTGGACAGGGGTTTCCTTCACTCATCCACTATGGGTCTTTACTTATGGACCTTATAAGATCCTGGAACCCCTGTTTCTAACTAAGCTCACCCACAATGGTCAGGTCTCTCACCTCCTTGACATCTGAGTACGTTCCACATCCCTTCACATTGGTGTGGGTTATTTGGGGATCATCTCTGCTGGGACTGGGCTTCCCTAAGTCCACCTGAGGTTCATTCATCTGACTTGTCCTTCTTGACATCTTCCCTCATGTGCAGATGACACAAGATCTCATCTCTCCAAAGACTCCCACCTTCCTGTCCAAGGTAGAAGCAAGCATGCCACTTAGTGTCTGAGTGCTGGCCTCAGAACATAACCAGACTATACAGTCCCTTCTTTGTGTGCTGTGGACAGATATAGTCCCCAGAAGTCCTTATCTAGGATCTGACTGTTCCTGGTACTGCTCCCTCTGCTTACCACAAGTGGTTCCCTCTGGTGACCTGGTATGATTCCTATGATCAAAGTCATCACCTCCCAGAAAAGTCCCACCCTAAATCATGAAATGTAGGAGGAAAACAATGCCGCCATTAACCATATGACTTACTAGAGTCGCATACAGATGAGGTAATAAAAGAGCAGTTTACCACACCGCTAACCACACCCACTTTAGGCATGACTAAAGACATATACCGACGGACATAAAGATGTATACAGACGTAGGCGGTGAACTACATCACTAGCCAGGCCCACTTTTGGGCAAGGCTAGGGGCGTTACGGGGGGAAGGTATAAAAGACTGAACAATGGAAGTCTTGGTCTCTTTTTCCAGCTTTCGGCTTCCAGTTCGGCGGCGGAAAACTACTCGGCTCATCTGGGTTACTTATTTGGTATCTTGTGAGTAATTTCTACAACAAATACTTAGTTTTACTGTCAGTAAGTGTGCCGTTTATCGTTAAAGCCTTTTCCTTGAGAGAAGCCTTCCCGCCAGCCTGGTTCCAGAGCCACATCAGTCTCAAATGAACACACAGGAGGCTATATTAATTATGAAGCTGTTAGCCTTGCTTGTTTCTTACTGGCTAGCTCTGACTTAAGTATTTATCCGATAATTGCTAATCTAAGTATTTCTCTTACCGGAGAGGTTTCCAGGCTTCCTACCCCATGGCATTACATCTTGACTTCCTGTGTTTCTCCTTCCCAGAGTCCTCCTGGACTCCTAGTCCCACCTATCTTGGTTCCCTATTGGTCAAAAGTGCTTTATTGACAAATACACAGGACTTCCCCCATCATCTCCTCTTTTCTGTCTAAACAAAAAGAAAGGTCTTAACTTTAACATAGTCAAATTATATATAACAGAACAGTTATCAAGTAAGAACACAGTTACAATATTTTGTCTATCAACATTTAGCAAGATTTAAAGAAAATATAATCTATCCCATCCTTGTGAGTCCAAAGTCCTATATGTAGCTTATCTTTTATCATAACTAAGGAAAACTATAATTATAACTATCTGCCTTCAACTCTATCAAAGACCACAGAAGGATAATATATATAAATTGACAGAGACATCTTACTGCCTGGACAGTCACCCAAGTTTCTCTGTAATGTTGGGGCATCCATCTTCAGCCCATAGATCACAATGTGTCCAGAAGATTTCTCAGCAAAGCAGGACATTTCAAACTGTCCATCTGTATTGGCAGTGTGTCAGTCATTTTTCTGTGTCCTGCAGAAAGTCTCGTAGACTCTTCCATGAATCAGGAACCCTGAAGGACTGTTTGATTTCAGTAGTCACTTTCCTGTGGGTCCTGCATGTCCAGTTTATACAGCAACAGTCATGCAGTCTAGGCAAGAGCAGTTTCTTGCCCAAATGGCTAATCTTGCTACGTTGAAAGCAAACTTCATAACGAGTCTCTTCAATGCCCATCTTCCACTGAGGCATAATTGGTGCTGCCAGGAGGAGCCATTTCTCATTGTCAAGAAAAACCCTAAACCATTTTAAATGCCATTTTCTGAAGGTCTTTGAAAGGTTTGAAGACTATCTATCTGCCTCAAATATATCTCTGTATATCTAGAAAACCAAACTAACCTAAATATAAGTTCTGACTATTATAAGTAACTACCTATGGTCTGTATTTAATTATGCATTATGTTTTAAAAGATCAGTATAAGCACAATACTTAATCAAGAGGAGAAATATACACATCACAAAATTGACCTTGAATTTGTATCAATAAATGAAAAACCATACCCATACCATAATTCCCCTTTTTACCATTAAAAAGAGATTGGGTATGATCATTAGCCAATTGTAAACAACCCCATTTAAATGAAAACAAAAATTTATAAACAATATGGGAATTAGGACGTCGCTCATTCCAAACTGCTTCGTGCTGGAAGGGGGCGCTGTTCATACCATGGGGATCATGATAAAACTCAGAAACCTGAATAAGTCCTTAGTTTCAGGGTCTGTAAGACTGCATCATCTTAGATGTTGAATCACTTGGGCCATTGCTTCTGGGGGTCTTGTTTCATCAAACCACAGAAGCCTGGAAGGAATCTTCAGCTTTTCATTTTCTGTAGAAACATAAACAAAATCTCTTTTCCAAAGTAACATATCCTTATACTTAAAATTTGAAGTCAAGGCATTCTCAAAAGATATAAGTTGAATTAATTCAGCAGCATTTATAATCAAGTATACTTTAGCAGTTGTTCCTTCCTGAGCAATCAAAAAACGGAAAAACACAATAGCATACAGTATCCAGACTCTCTGTGTATTTTCCATCTTTACGTGGCTTATTTATTTATCTATTATTATTATTATTCTATTTCTTTTACTTTTTTATTTTTCTCTGAGACAGGGTTTCTCTTTGGAAATCCGCCTGCCTCTGCCTCTGCAGCAAATCCTACCAGCATGAGCCACCACAGCCGGCTTCTCTATTTACCACTGTGCCTTTTCTTTTTCTCTTAATCTTTTTTTTTGTGAGTCAATTTGAATGGTTTATTTTTTAATTTTTTTTATTTTATTTTCCAGTTTAAATTTAGATAAGAATCAAGGTTGCTTCACAAGTCAGTTCCAGGTCCCTCTCCCATTCCCTCCCTTCCTCCCGTGCCCTCCCCCCCCCGTTATCCCCTCATTTCTCCAGGGAGGGTGAGGCCCTCCATGGGGGTGTCCATAGTCTGTCATTTCATATAGGGCAGGGCCTAGACCCTTTCCCAAGAGTTCAGGGTGAGAGTGCACCTCACATTGTTCTATTGGAGTCCAAAGTCCGTGTGTATACTTGGGATGGGTACTGATCTGCTGCCCAAGGCTCAATAGAATCCCTAGGCCTCTTCACTGACACCCAGATTCAGGGGGTCTTGATCAGTCCCATGCTGGATTCCCAGGCTAATGCCTGGGATTCAAGAGTTAACCTTTGTCTGGTCAGCTGTTTCTGGGGGTTAGACCAGCCCAGTCTTAATCTTACGTATATTTTTAAACACACTGAAAACCTTTAGAGGTTTTGCTTCATGAAAGTCTGACTTTACTGTAAATCTTTATGTTTTTCTGGCCACGTGTCTTATCTGTTAAAACCACGGCTGTTTAAACTGCCATTTTTCCAAGATGGGGGGCATAAGCATGACTCTAGCTGCCGGCTTGGAGATGTGGTCACTGGCACTTCCAGCTGTGCTTACACACCTTTCAATTGTTAGTAGAGCCTCTTAAAAGAACCTTGCTGGGTTTTTTTTTTGCTTGAGTCTCTGCTTGTCGCTAGCAAAACAGAGCCCACCTGAGAAAAATGCTGCTACCAAAAAGAACCATGCTTTTCTTTAAAGATTTTGTCATTCTACGTGGAAATTCATGATCCCACTTCTGATCACCATTATATAAAGGGAAGCCTTCCCACCAGCCTGGTTCCAGAGCCGCATCAGTCCCAAATGAACACACAAGAGGCTATATTAATTATGAAGCTGTTGGCCTTGCTTGTTTCTTACTGGATAGCTCTGACTTAAGTATTTACTCCATAGTTGTTAATCTAAGTATTTCTCTTACTGGAGAGATTTCCGGGCTTCCTACCCCGTGGTGTTACATCTTGACTCTCTGTGTTTCTCCTTCCCAGAGTCCTCCTGGACTCCTATTCCCACCTATCTTGGTTCCCTATTGGCCAACAGTGCTTTATTGACAAATACACAGGACTTCCCCCATCAATGAAACAGGGATCTCCAGGCAACATTAATAGGGATGACCAGGTATTATGAGGTCTTTGGGGTTTTCTTTGGGGGGGTGTGTGGCTGTGCCTCACCATATCTTTAATTCTCACCATAGTAACTTACCTAGATTACTGATAAATGCTGGACACCTCCTCTGGTAATCTTTATATGGCTCCCTCTGTTGCTCTAATGATACTTTAACTGAACAGGCTCACCTTCTTGCAGAGGAGATAGAAATGATAATGAACTACATCTGTACAACAGTAAGTGGAGTATCACAAAGCTGACAAGAGCAGGGCCAACAGAAATGGTAAGGCTGAATTATATGTGTACTGACTATCTGGGGTACAGTGAGCTTACTTGAACCCTCACATTTTACCTTAACTGCTAATGTATCCAAAGACCTCTTTTGTCCATGGCCTCAGAAAAAGGCTCTGATATTAGATCTGTGGTCAAAGTAGGCCACTCCCCTGACTAGTCTAGCCACATGTTGTACAAGACTACTTACAGATATACAGCTGAATTATCTAGTGTGGCACATCTTTAGTTTACCATCAGGGTCTCACCATATCACTTCATGGAGCCTGGATTGTGTCTACTCCAACTGCCTCAGAAAAAAATGATCCAAATCAGAGTCCCCTTGGAGGACAGAGGCTCATTCCTAGAAGCACCCTTCTCCCCATTTGTTATGAATGCTCAACAGAGAAGCACTAATTTGCGTTCCTTAGTCTAGGCATAATGTCTTACCTTAAATCCAAGAGTAACTGAAAAGGGTATGGAGAACACATCATCTTTTAAAAGTGTTTTACTAACACTTGAAAATTTAATATATTGCATTTTAATCATATTCAACCTCCTCCTCCAAATCCTTCTAGATCTAAAACCTTTCATATCCACCAAACCTTGTATTCCCATACTTTTCAGACCATTGAGTTCAATTTGTAATGTATATTCTTGAGGGTGTGAGCATCCATTGAAGCACAATCGACTGATTAGAAGCTGCAACCATTGGCTATCAATTACCAATAACTCCTCAGCTAGGGGTTGGACTTACATACTACACTTTATGCTTGGATTTTGTCTAGCTTGGAACTCAGTCCTCTTGATTGGGCTACCTTCATTCACTTGGG